CAGATGAGGAAAAATACATGGGCCATCCTTGATTTCAGGGGTGATAATAATTGTGTATGACCCCTCAGACTTGTGTCTTTTGGGGAACTTCATCTAGCTGTAGAGACACAATTGCACTGGAAGCAAATAATGACTGGCAAACTTAAACTGTTATGTCATATGGTATTGAGTAGGTAGAATGTGATTTCAGAGGAAAGAGAGCTCAATGTGGGCTGGAATACCCAGGATGGTTTGGAGAGGGATCGTAGCATTCATTAAACACATGGGCTGCAAAACCAGACTGCCTGGATTCAAAGCTGGCTTTGCCACTTGCTAACTGTGTGACCTTGAGGAGCTCACCGGTCCCTCTATACCTGAGTTTCTTTATCCTCTGTTTCTAAATGGACAGCATACTAACACTTCACAATGTTATTGCAGCTCTCTCTCTGCCTGACTGCCACCTTCATAAGCTGCATTCACACGCCTGAGAAGAGGCTGTCCCCATTGGCTTTGACCTGTAGTAGTATTGTCCTCTCCTGGCCAAAACTGACATCTGTCCTGGAAAAGGGCCAGATCTACAATCCATGACATTGCACAAGCACATTGTGTGACAAGCAATAAAATCTTGTGAATCCTGATTTCCAAAATTCTCTCTTGATCTTCCTAAGGATCTCTACATGTAATTAAAAGAGCTGTTGCTATTTGAAAGCATCTTGAGACAAACAGCAAACAATAAAGATTTTAAATTCTGTCTGATTCTTACTGAGAACCAATCAAATCAATAGGCTCTATTATTATAAGAATAAGTGATTTCTCCCAGTTGGAAACACAAGTCATTCTCATCCTCTGCCTGGTTGCATAAGTTTAACTCTTGAATACTAAGAGAATGAAATAATTATTTAACTTTAAAAAAAAAAGGAAAAGGTTATCATGAGGGCTAAATAAGTCTATATCCTGTAAAGAACGCAGAACAATGCCTGGCACATGATTTGTGCTCAATAAGTGTTCAATGTCATCAATAAGAAGGATAGCAGTAGCAGCACGATTATCACTAACGCAAGTCCTGAGCTGGCCCTTGAGCAGAGGCAGGTGTTTTGAGGGAGCTAGCAGAGCAGACAGGAGATAGTAGAGGACTGGAGTAAATGGCTGAGTAGCAGCGACTCTTCAGCCCAAGACCTTCAGGTTATGGGCTTGGAAAGCTCTAATGCATTCATAAAGCGCAGCAAATATATAATGAGTGCCAAAAAATGTATACATATTTTTTTTTAAACTTTATTGGGGAACAATGTATTTTTTCAGGGAACAATGTGTTTTTTCCAGGACCCATCAGCTCCAAGTCAAGTTGTTGTCCTGCAATCTTAGTTGTGGAGAGCACAGTTCAGCTCCAACTCCAGTCACCATTTTCAATCTAGTTGCAGAGGACACAGCTCACTGGCCCATGTGGGAATCGAACCGGTAGCCCTGTTGCTCAGAGCATGCGCCCTAACCAACTGAGCCACCGGCTGCCGTTGTATACACATTTTAAGAAAGGAAAAACCAGTATTAAAAATTGTAATACTCAATATATACCAATAACAAAAGACGAATACAACTCATGTATGTACATTTTTTTGGCACCCATGGTATATTATCCTTCCTGCTCCAGACTCTGGCCTGGACAGAAAAAAGACATTTGGGGTGGGTGAGATATTCCAATGTTTTGTTTATCTGTTTGTTTGTTTGTTTAAAGCAAAGGTCCTCAACTTTGGCTGCACATTGGAATGACAGGAACTTTCAAAATTCCCAGTGCCCAATCCCAGCCCAGAGAGTCACGTGTAAGTGGGCTGGGTGTGGCCTGGGATTTTGGAACGCTCCAATGGTCAGAGCAGGCAGAGCACCACTGTCTGGGCGAGTCCCCGTTTACGCCTTAGGCCCCCTACCCCAGTTCCTCCCAGTTCCTGCTGCTTTCCAGCCTGGAGTGGTAGCCAGGGTTCTGGGCAGCCCTTTGGTTTTCCAGTGATCCTTTCATTTCACCCTGAATACAAAACACAAATGTATTTGTGTGTTTGATTTATTTATTTGTAGTAGTGATTCCTAGATCATGTACACCTCGCAGAAAATGGAATTGGGAACGGTGATTACTTTTCTGGTGGAAACTACTCTGGACAATATTAAAGGGCTGCCATCCTCCCTGCCACCCTGGCCCCCATCCACTCCCACTGGCTCCGGGAACAAAAGAGTAAGATGCCAATGGCTTTCAGCTGTGGTCCCTCATGCAGCTGCATGGTGGCTGACAGGTGTGAGGTCAAGTGACTCAGCTTTCTTTCAGTAGTGCTATTGGGTTCGAGGACTGAATGCTAATGTATTAATGAAACCTCAGCCACACATTTGTTTGTTTCTCTGTGGCTGCTAATATTTTTGTGCTGTAAATCACAGGGAAGAGAAAGATCAACAGGCAGACATGTCATTCCTTCTGCAATAACTCCCAGTGTTTAGAGGCTGCGAAGTGAATAATTATAGCCTTTGTATTAAGCATTCATCATTTCACCCGCACCAGTCAGCCTGGTTTTGTATTTTTAGCCTTGCTGTGCTGACATTGAAAGTGTTTGGGCATAATAGCCCCAGTTTATCTCTTCACTGTCTCTGACTCTATGCGCCCCTGGCCAGGGATAAAAACTGATGTGCATTTGGGACATTCTGTATGACTTGGGGACATGAGGTGCTCTTACACGGTTTCTCTTTTTGTCCTCCCAACAAATGTGCTCCCTGCCAGGCTCTGGGTCATTTGATCAAATGCACTGGGAGTTCTAGACCTGGGGTCCTTTTCTTGGATTCCCCTCTGACCTTCAGTGAAACCTACGATTTCCCACAGAGGGATGGTGGCCATATAGTTCCCAGGTGTCATATAGGAATAATGGTTGTTTAAAATATGAGCCTACTGGTGATTAACTTGACCCAAAGATTTATCTTTTTCTGTAACAGTGTAAAAGAGATGGCTGCAGCATTGTATGGTGAAATAGACACAGGCTTTTTTATTGGATGTCTTAGGTTCAAGTACCAAGCCAGCCACTTCATAGGCATGTGTGTTTGGACAAGTTATTGAATCTTTGTTGAATCTTCCTGCCTCTATATCATGATGAGTGACATTTGTCTAACCCTAGTGCTACCTTAAAGGGTGTTGGGCAGCTCCAATGAAGTGTCATTACATGATAGTGCTTTATGAGCCTTAGCACAATATAGTCCTAATTGCATTTTCTATATTTCCCTGTGCTTTTTTTCTTCCATGTTCACATGGTTACTTGTTCTCCTTGGTAATTTGTTTTCTTCATGCTTTTGCTCACGTTGGAATGCTGTAACCCTACTCTTTGCCAGGTTATCCACTCTTATTCACTGTAGTAGGTTGATTTGTTGCCACAGAAAGGTTTGCCCAAACCCTACCCCCGGTACCTATGAATGCAACCTTATTTGGAAAAGGGTCTTTGCAGATGTAATTAAGGATCTTGAGATGAGATCACCCTGGATTGACTGGATGGGCCTTAGAAACCCAGTGACAAGTTTCTTTATAAGAACAGGAGACGACATAGGCAGAAGCGGGGCGGGGCACACAGGAGAAGGCCACGTGAAAACTGGGGGGGGGGGGGGGGGGCGCGGGAGACTGGAGTTATTATTCTGCGCAAGCCGAGAAGTGCTGGGAGCTCGTGTCAACTGAAGGAAGCAAGGAAGGGTCTTTCCCTAGAGCCTTTGGGAGGGCGCATATCCCTGCTGACACCTGGATTTCATACTTCTGGCCTTTAGAACTATGAGAGAATACATTTCTTTTGTCTTAAGTGACCAAGTTGGTGGTAGTTTGTTACAGCGGCCACAGGAAACTAATACACTCATCTTTTATGTCTTGGCTCAGGTGTCCTGTGCTCCTGGAGGTCTCCTACCTTCCCAGGGCTGGGCGGGCTGCCCCTCCTCGTGTGCCCCCAATATCCCTTATATCTGTCTCTAATTGCCCCTGCTTGTATAATTATCCATTGATGTGGCTGTCTGTCTCCATGACACCGAGGAGTCTGTGACAGTGGGGCTGTGTCTTATTAATGTTTCTCACCTGCATGTAGCAGCTCAATACGTGTTTGTTATATGCAGAATGAATTTTGCTCTCAAACTCACTTTCATCTTTGTTAAATTCCATGCCAGCACGTTGGTCTCGTAGGCTCTTCATGCTTGTAGAAAGAACCCGTTTGTCTGGCTTTTCATCTGCAGCCCCTTTCCTCTGTCTGCACATGCTTCCCTGTTGATAATATTTCTGTAAAATACTATTCAAGCACTTGTCCACCCAGAGACTCGCAGAGACCTCATACCTCTTTCAAGTGCCTCCACCACCTGGTTCCACAGTGTTTCCAGCTCTGTCTGCCACTACCCTTCTCCAGGAAGAAAATTTGATTCCTGTGTTCGTAGAACATGCTTTCCAAATGTAAAACCTTAGAACTCTGGATGACAGGAAAGCCTTCTCTACATTGCTGCTGAAATCTTAATTACCATGCAGATGTTTGCATGGCATTCTTTTTCCCTCAGTGAAGGAAGGGATGTGTTTTAAGTAGCGGATTTTTGCTCAGGTTTCTCTATATGGATATAGAAAACTTAGCCTCCGGAAACCCTCTCTGGCCTTCTCTTTATTGAAAGCATGAAGTGGCATAGAGGGAAGGGCTTTGCAGTCCCAAGTTTGAATCCTGCATTGATTACTTGCTAGCTTTTTAAACTTGAGCAACTTACTTAATTTCTCTAAGCATCAGATTCTGCATCTGTGAAGTGGAAATGACAATAAGATTTTATAAAGTTCCTGAGGGTTGAATGCAGCCATAGTAATCATTATCTAAAGGGATTGCTATGTGTGTATGTGTGTGGGGGGAAGGACCAAGATGGTGCAATGAGCTTGACTTATTACAGTCAATTAAGAGAGAATCAAATTACAAAAACAATACTGGTTTGAGTGAAGGGTGTGTTCTAATTCTGTGTTTTCTTAAGGGAAATCATTTCCATTGCTTGATTCTTTGCAGAGTAACGGGACCACTGAACATCAGGTGGAATCTTTCATAAAGAAAAAACTGGAGTCACTGTTAAAAGAATCGCAAATTCGAGACAAAGAAGACCCTGATAGCTTCACGGTGAGGGCGCTGCTGAAGGCCACGCATGAAGGCTTAAATGTGCACCTGAAGCAGGTATACGCTCTCCTCTTGCACTTGTCCTTTGACAGGAAAGAGAAAGCAGGCCATACTTTGTTTCTGATCGTTTGTCGTGCGTGGAATGCTTCCCCAGTTTCTTCCATTTCTATCTTCCTACTGCTTGAGAAATAAAAATCTGTGGCAAAACGATGTGAGAAATAGTTAAGGTTGGATCAGTGGGAGTGAGGATGACAGGAGAAAGCCCAGCGCCCCTGTGCTTGCTTAAGGGAGTGGAGGCTTGAGCCTCCCGCCTCTCCTTGCTCGGTCAGCCTCCAGGCCCCGCTGGAACACTTCCTGACCGAGTCGCCCATCTGTCCACTTCCCTTCTCCTTCCTCCATGGCTGTGTTCCAGTCTAGGCCAGTGTCAGCTCTCACCTAGACTTCTCTTGCCCTTCTTCAGTCTAATCTCCACTCTGAAATCAGCAGGGTTCTTTCAAAATGCAGGTCTGATCACATCACTGTACTGTTCAGCATTCTTTGCTGGCTTCTCATTTTGCTTAGGATAAGTTACAAACTCTTTCACCAGGCTTCCAAGGGCTTGCATCATTGCATCCTTGCCCACCTCTCCAGTCTCAGATCTTTTTCCCTGTCACACACTGCCTTCCACAATGGTCACACTAGCCACCATTGTTTATATGCATGGCCTTCCTCACATTATGGTTCCTTTGCCTGGAATGCTCCATTTCTACATCTGTTCCAGCTAAGTCTTCCTCAGCCTTTTAAATTCCAGCTCCAGTGTGATGTTCTAAATGAGTCTGGCCTTGACCCCTGGATTAGGTGTGCTATCCCCTTTGTATTGCCCTCAGTAGCCTGTAATATCTTTTCTGAAGTTTTTTGAAATACATTTGCAATTACTTGTTCAATGTCTATCTGCCCAACTAGACTATAGATTCCATGAAGACAGGCACCATGTCATTCTCGATAACCATTATTGTGTTCTGACTTGTCTAGTGCTTGTAAATTAGTAAGACCCTCATAAATAATTGTTGAATGAATGAATGAATGGTGTGAATTATGGTTGAGATGTTTACTCTGCTTTCTAATAAAAATATCATAAATGGAAAAGGGACAGTAGGTTTATTGATGTTATCATTGCAGGGCATTGAGTGCATTTTTTTTCTGGCCCAGAGGACATCTATGCTTTCATTGCCTAAACTAATACCAGCCTTCCCTGCTATTACCCCCTGTCCTCCAGTGCTCAGGGCTCCACAGGCAGAGGGAAGGACATATGGGGCGACCATCCTTGGGTCTAAGTGAGCACATAGCATTGGTGATTACTCTCTAGACCAGCGGTTCTCAGCCTGTGGGTTGCGATCCCTTTGGGGGTCGAACGACCCTTTCACAGGGGTCGCCTAAGACCATCGG